CAGGGCTGGGATTTAAACCACGGTTGGCCTTGTGGAATCCGGTTCCCTGCACACAGGATTTAATCACTGCACTACAGGGATGGCACAATACTAATTTTTAAATATTGCTTTTTAATAAGTATTTTCTTCAATATCTGAACAACAAAACATACCCAAATTTTATTTTGGACACTCCCAATAATGTGACTACAATGTGCAGACTGAGAACTTCAACAGAGACAGAAGATAAGGTCCAAGATGCTTCCTTAATCCAGCTAGGCCTTATATTTACATGCAATGTCTTGTATATGTATTTATGTAGTTTAGGTAGAAATATGTATACCCTGGTGGCTTGCGTTCTCATTCCCCCGGCCCTTCTCTGTGTGTGTATATCTTTCCCTGTTCAGATTAAAATAAATGAATGAATACATTTTTTAAATTAATAAGTAATTCTTAAAAAAAAAAAAGTTTGTCATGCAAAATATAGTAGAGGCCACAGCCAATAGGGACATCTCCAAAGCAAGTGTCTTTGATGCCTCCCAAGCTGTATGTGAGTTGTGCCATTCATAACAAAGTAGTCAGGAACTGATCTCGTGAAGCTCAGAAGGACCAGTTTAGACCTGCAGATGCTGCCCCTTACCTTCCATCAAAGCATATAAAAAGGAGCTGATCTTTTTTTTGATGGTTACACAGTGGACAGTGGAACTGAGTCTTTAAAGAATGAAGAACTGACCTCTGGGAAAAAATAAAAAGCAAAAAATACATCTAAATAAAAGAATCATCTAACATCTAGAAAAATACATGTATACTCCAAAGTAGGTATTGGGTATTATATTCAGAGGATTCACAGAATCCACTCATGTCTGAAGGTCTTAATCTAAACTAACTTTCTAAATTTAAAGAGATTTAAAAACTACTGTAAGATCCACAAAGTTTTTTTTAAATTATTTTTTTAAATATTTATTTATTTATTTAATTCTATTTGTTACTATGTTTTAACTTGATCAGAGAGAAAAAGAGAAAGAGAAAGTGAGAAAGCAAGCCCCCAGGTCTGGGACTCAACCGTGACTGGCCATGTGGGAATCCAGTGCCTTTAACCACCATGCCACTTGCCGACCCGAAAATCCAGAAAGTTTAAAGGACATTCCTGAACTTCTACAGGTAGTTAAGTCAGAACTGGAATTTCAGACTCATGGGTTAAATTTTTTTTTTTTTGACTCAAGTTACTCTAAAAGTTTCTCCTTTATAACAGTAGATTACTCATTTGTTAAACCAAGCTATGGTTTCAGTATGTTCCCCACACACACACACACACACCGAATTCATGTGCTGGAATTTAGTTACACTGTGAAGATATTAAGAGGAGACTTGATGATTATCATGTTGAAAGGTGGAGCCTTTGAGAAGGGATTAGTCATCTTGGGGGAGAGGGTCCCCATGACTGAGTCCTGTGGGGCTTAAAAGGAGGGAATGAGATGGACCTGCTCGCTGCTCGCTCTCTCCTGCCCTCCACCATGCTACCCACCATTAAGAACACCCTCACCAAGTGCAGTCCCTGGACCTTGAACCTCCAAATCAAGAGCTGAATAAACCTCTATGTTCTTACATTATCCAGTCTCGGGTATTTTTGATATAAGCAACAGGATGTACTGAAACAGATCATGAAAGTCAAGTTTCATCTATACCACATGCCCCCAGACCTAGTCCAAACTCACTGACAGAGGTAGAAAGAGCCCACCCATCACAGTCAGCAGAAAACACACCCTGTACTGGCTGTAGTCCCCACACAGTCACCCACATAGGACTCTCACCAAAGCATCTTGATATGTTAGGGCACTTGTTTACAAAATACCTAGAAAGAGTTAAGAATATAATGTGGGAAATTATAATTTTTCCCTTGTGCAAATGACCCTACTCTGCTGCTAATCTCAGCTCCAATGGCCTCTTCTTCAACTAACCAAGTAAACAGTTCCGACAACCAAAACTGTCTTCACTGACTCACACTGGGGAGAGACACGCCAAGGACACATGGACAAATGCTTCCCTTCATCTGTCCCAGAGTTTCAGTCTAAGGTGAGGCAAGCAGAAAAATATTTGAGTTAGTGTTCACCATACCTCTTTTTAAAAAATCCAAAAACTCCTATAAAATATTAGATACAGAGTCAAACAGGTAATAATATGAGAGGACTTCAATAAGTTCATGAAAAAAGTATAAAACATGAGTTTATTTAGGTACAAAAACATTTAAATTCATGCAAAGTTTTTTCATAGTACATAACCTCAATGAACTTTTTGAAGACTCCCTCATATTAGTAACAGAAATAAGGAAAAAGGTAAGAATAATGAGTATTACTTTCAGTATTAGCACTATATGTCCAGAAGCATACTCGTAATGTTAATTACCACGGCTGATTTGTGGAGTACCTTATTGGTAGGCATTAAATTCCCATTTTACAGCTGAGGAAGCTGATCCAGAGAGGTCTTGGTACAAAAGACATAGAATTGTGATCTGAAAACAGAACAGTCTCACAGGAAAACCCACATGCTCACGTCCTAAATTTGTTAGGAAGTTCATTTTTAGCTCAAGATTCATAATTTAGGGACTAGTTTTTCAAAGTTCCATTAAAACAAGTTAGACTTTACGTATTTGTCCACAACATGTTTTGAGCACACCTCTGCTCTCAGCATGTCTGATCATTATCTATTTTTCTGTTCATCTCCCTAGACTTGCCAGGTTTCATAAGCTGAGCCTTCTCTGGAGTTGTCACTTTTCCGGACTCCTGATATAGTTGGCAAAATACCCTGACAGGTTCTAGGAAGGCCCAGACACATCTCCCTTCTGGATCTATTTCCTCTTCCCCTCCTTCTCTGACAGGGAACAATCCTTACCACATCTCAAACATACCAGAGAGGGCTTCCACTTAGCCATGCCCCTGAGAGAAATCTATGAAAACATGTTCATCTGTTCCTGTTAAGCGAGCATACTTACAACATCACATTGAAGGGAGACAAAACACTTGGCTACCTAAAATCAACTTCTGTCCTTTCAAAGAAGTTTAGTTTACCATCGCTTCACAGGGTCACTCAATCTAAATTACTGAGCAATCTCCAAACAAAACATAATCACCACCAAAATATATGCACAAAAAAATTCATACAGATACGATTAGCATAAGTCCAAACTGGATACTAAGTAAATGTCTGGCAACCATAAAATAAATAAGCAATTGGCTACACCAGAACAAAGAATAAAAAAATAAATGACAGACAATACCATGAATTTCACAAACATAATAAGCAAAATAACCCTGACACAAAAGAATATTTATTGTATGATTCTATTCATGAACTTTACAAATAGGCAAAACTTGGGGCAGCAGATGGCATGGTGGTTAGGCACCGGACACTCCCACATGGCCGACCACAGTTTGAGTCCAGGACCTGGTGGCTTGCTTTCTCACTTTCCTTCTCTCTGTGTGTCTGTTTTTCTCTGGTCAAATTAAAATAAACAAATGAATAAATAAAATTAAATAATTCTTTTTTTTTTAAGAGGCAAAACTAATCAAAGGCATCAGAAGTCAGGATATTGGTTTCTGCTGGGAGACAAGGAGAACAGGGCTCTGGGGCATTGGTAATTTACTGTTAATGAGGTGCTGGTTGCACAGGTTTGTCCACTTTGATGACAATTATTCCATCAAGCCACCCACTAATTTGTGCACTTTTCTCTATGTATAAAGTACCTGAATAAATATTGAATAAATAAATATTGAAGAAGATGAATATGTGCATACCCTTGATTTGATTTGTACACACTGTATGCATGCTTTAAAACACTATACTGTATCCCACAAAGATGTACATCAGGTATATGTAAACCAGAAATTGCAATAAAAAAATATACCTATTAACAAAATGCTAAAAAAAAAAAAAAAAAAGGAGGGGGGAAGAAAGGGGATTAAAAAGATAGATTAGGATCATGTTCCTATTAAGAACACAACCTAGCAGGCTCTAGTCTCCCCTTGATCTCCCTGTCAGGAAGAACATTTAAACACTACAGCCTAGTGGTTAAGGGAACCGGATCCCTCATGGCCAACCAAGCAGTCTGAATCCCAGCAAAACATGCCAGATACCTGTGTGCACACGCCCAACATCCTCACAGGTTGGAGAAATGGAGAACAGATTGCAGCACGACCATGCCCCAATGTGAGGAGGGAGGGCTTTCTCTCTCTCTGGCGAATGCATGTGCCCTCTGACCAAAAACAGCAACAACAACAAGAAAAAAAAAAAATACACCACTCTTGAGGATAAAGAGCAACCAGAAAGTCTGATAATTCTGTGTTCATGCTAACTAGTGTGTGACCATTGACACATTCCTTATCCCTCTCTCAGAACCTCACTACCTTCATCTAGATCACTAAAATACTCCTACTTTGCAAAGTTGCCGTAAGGATAAGGTAATAGCATCAGCAGTGCCTGGCACATGGCAAGCGTTTAGAGAAACTACTGTGGAATAAATATTGAATTAGTCAAATGTCAATCGTATGGTGGAAGCTCAATAAATAGTAATTATAATGTTGTCAGGGAAATGGGAAGAAAGGGAGTCAATTAGCTTATAGAAAAACCATCACCTCATTTCTAAACCTATGGGGTCATTAATGGGTGATCAATAATTCCCACTGACTCGGATGAATGTCTGAGATGACATGAGAGATACAGAGAGAGAAAGGTCCAGGAAGAGGGCTGTGCTTTTCATATGCTACCAGGTCTGTGTTCTCCTTCTCGGTGCCAAGTACAGATCTGTTCAGTGAGCGTCACAACATGTCTAAATCTTCCAGCCACCTGTGTTAGTCATACTACTTTTAGAATTTAAAAGTTTTTAAAGAGGAGATGGGTCATAAATTCTTAGACTTAATGAGTAGACTATATTACCTTTATTATGGGAAGAAATTTTATACACACTGACTATACAGAAAGGGAACTGCAGGCTTTAGATGCCAGAAATGAACGATACATTTACTTACCTTTTAAAAAGCAGGTGTAATATTGATTTTTTTTCAGCTCTTCAAATCTTCATGTAACTTAGCTAACTGGTCGGTACAAGTTCTTTTATACTGAAAAGAAATATTTAAAAAAGACAAATTAAAACTAACGTCAAGTTATATAGCACACCATAAGAAAATAAAAGTTAATTTAGAATAACTGTACAAGCAAATATCATCAAACCGTTGGGTAATCGGAAAAATCATGATGTATTTTTTCTGTTTTTTTTTTTCTATGCAAAATGAGCCATGACTTTTACAACAATCCAACAGATAACATGGATATATGTAAAACCAGGAACACGTATGCATCAATGACTTCCTTTCATCTGTCCTTTCTCCCCCCTCGCCTTCCTTCTTTGCTCCATCCAGCACTCTTGTCCTCTTGACTTCCTTCCCTCTCTCCCATCTTTAGTTATTAGAAACCTTGAATATTCCTTGAAGACTGATTTTCTACAGAAACCATCATCGATTTTTTTTTTTGAGAGATTTTTGCTATAGGGTATGTGCACTCACCAGAGAGACAGAGAGACAGAAAGCAAGATATCACCTCCCAGAGGGATGGCCACACTGCAATCCCTTCTCCTCCATACTCCTCTCAGGATCTTGGGCACGCACGCACATGTGCCTGGCATGAGTTTTAAGTTACCAGGTCTGGGACTAGAACCATGGTCAACTACATGGGATTCCAGCGATGTAACCATTATGCCATCTGCTGGTCCCTATCATTAATTTTTATAACACAAAGTACCTAGCACATGGTAGGTAATCTATGTTTGTTGAGTGAGAGAAGTATAGCTTTATAATAATTGTTAAGGTAGAAAAAAATGAGGAAATGCCTGCCAACAAATTGATTTTGCTCTCCCAATAATAACGGTGTGGAGATAATAGGAAGATGTCATTGTTTTTCAGACTTGTGTTTCCAATTCTCTGATATCACTCCCTTTTTTAAAGTTCACTTAGTCATTTCTTTCTTCAGAGAGAGACAGAGACAGAGAAAGATAAACAAGCACCTCACTAGGCTCTCACGCCATGATCCCCCCCACACTCCCCAGCCTGCCAACCAGCCAGGGCCACAGGTAACACGTGTAGCCCTGGTGCACACAGATCGACAAAGAAACTGAACACAGATCTGCCACGTGGCCTCCAGTGTTATAGTGCCGAGCTACCACTGTGCCACCAAGGCTCAGCCCCTTTATCGCTTTTTTTTTCTTTCATGAACAAAACAGAGAGTCAGTGTCACCAACAGGGTTTCAACACCATGATCTACCTCCAACTTCCGCCAGCCCCCAGATGACATGTGCCTAATGTAACAGGAAGGTCTCCAAGTCAGCCACTCAGAGTGTCTTGTTTTACCATCCCCCATCCCACAATTTCTTTTAAATAACTCAGACTTAGAGAATATTCCCACTGGCATATAGGGGCACATCAAACCCCATCATAATATAGTAATACAACATATTTGGTAGCAAAGAAATATTTAAGAGAAGTTAAAGTTCCTTTTGAGACACTCACTCATCAAACAGCTCATAACTACCTCCATCTAAATGAGAAAGCAAGGTGTGTAAGGTCCAGTTGCATTGCTTGGGAGGCTAGAGTCACATGAGAAACCTGGGTTTGAGCCCTGGCCAGCCTCAACATACTGGGTGTGGCTGAGTGTGCCTGTAATACTAGCTAATTGGGAGGCGGGAGGGTAGGAAGATTACAGCACAGCAAGACTATCAAAAATGTCTATGTTGGGACCAGCAGTTAGCGTAATAGCTAAGTCGCTGGACTCCCATGTAGTCGACCACGGTTCGCGTCCCGAACCTGGTGGCTTAAAACTCGTGTGCATGCGTGCCCAAGATACCGAGAGGAGAATGGAAGAGAAGGGATTGTGGCGTGGCCATCCTCCCTGGGGGTGAGGAGGGGAGTGATTTCTCGCTTTCTGTCTTTCTGTCTCTGTCTTTCTGGCAAGCGCATGTGCCCTATGGCCAAAACCTCTCAAAAAAAAAAAAAAAAAAGTCTATTTCTTTTTATCACCCATTGCCTTTGTGTTTCTCTCATAATGGCAGTAAGAATTTTTGAAAAGCAAGATGTTCCTTTAAATACAAGAAATATTGCCACACGTTTCAAACGTAGTCAGGATCAGTTTAGACAAAATTACAGCACAAGAATATGGCTGTTGCTTCCTCTGCCCTTTTGAAGATTCAGTAACCCTAGATGTTTAATCAAGCAGGAAATGGAGCCAGCCAATGACACGGTGGTTAAGGTGACTGGATCCCACACGGCCAACAGCATGGTTTGAGTTCCAAATCTGGCAGCTTGAAAAGCACTGGGCACATGTATATGCATGCCCAAAATCCCAAAAGGAGAAATGGAGACAGGATTGTGGTATGACCATCTTCCACAGCAGGAGCTTTATCATTTTTTTTCTCTCTCTGTTTCTCCCCTGCCAGTGAGCACATGTACCCACAAGCAACATTTTTTATTTTTTTAAAAAAGAAAGTAGGGAAGCAATAGAACCAGGTCCAAGGTTACAAGAACTTATTGCATGTCCTTTCTGAGGATACTTTCATTTAAAACAAAATGAAACAAAACCAGTCTTAGAAAAGGCAGGCACTTAACATTGAAATAGTCAACAAAATCTTTTGCTAATGGTTTAGCAGGTCATCGCCTGGTGGTCAAGGCAATAGACTCCCACACGACCAATCACAGTTTGAATCCTAGAAAATCATGCTGGGCACATGTGAGTGTGCATGTCCAAGATCCTGAGAGGAGAATGGAGGAGAAAGGCCTGTGGCATGACCATCCCCCATGGGGAGTGATTTCTCTCTCTCTCTCTCTCCAGTGAGTGCACACGCCCTATGGAAAAACCTAAAATGTAAATCCATAAACACACACACCCAGACACACATATACTAGCAATGGACTTTTAGTCATAAAGGGGGGTTACAGATTGTCCTGGAGGAATTTCTCAAGACACACACCATCAAATCGCAGGAGGTAAATAAACATCTGTCCTTTCCATCTCCCTCTAAAGCCCACTTCAGATGTGTTCTATAAATACAGACCACTCCAGGCAAATTTTAAGCAATTAATGTATACATGGGCAAGCCTGATTTTAAGACTAGGGTGTGCACCAAAAGTAAACAGTTATGCTTATCAGTAGTTTTCAAAGAGAGCTTCTAGGAACCCCACCCTATAGGTGTGTCTGAGGCAGGAGTGAGTAGATGTGTGGCAATGGGCAGAGCAATTTTCACCTTTATTTGTTTTACACTTTGATCCAAGATTTAGTTGGAGAAGTAGTTCCTTGACCTGCTTATAAAAATGCTGCAATAATTAATGTAACAATAATTACATTAAAAGCTACTGCAGAAAATCCTAATGATCTGCGTTCATAACACAGCTGATATAATCACACCAAATCCAACCTCCATCTCTAACAGAGTTTTGTGGGAAAACAGGAGAGCCAGGCTGAGCCAGAGAGCACACAGGTCAGCCTGGGTCTGAGCAGACTGGAGCCAGGGCTTCTCTTCCTTCCTATTCAGCCTTCACCTCCTGTCCTGGAACAAGCAGAAGGAAGGAAATCCACATTTCCACAAGGACTGAGCCAACAGTAAGTGAGGACATTACAGTGGGAAGAAGCTGTGGATGTTCCAAAGGCCGGGAAACAGCAGAGTAAGATACACGGCGCTTCTCTAAGTCAGCCCCGTCTCAGGCCCTTCCTGATTCCCATCAGTCTCGTTGCTGAGAATTACATGTGCAAGGTTTAGATGTTTCACTTACTAAAAGTTTTCAAAAAGTCCCTGAACAAATGGAATTAGGCTTAGCCTCAGTAGCACAAGAGATAGCACACTGAGCCACAGTGCTGGAAGACACAGGGCCGACTACAGGTTTGGAGGCCCAGTCAATCTGAAACACTCCAGGTAAGCATGTGCCCAAGATGCTGGCTGGCTGGAGAACCGGGAGGAGATAATGGTGTGAGGAGATCCTGCCCAGGGTGCCTCTCCCTCTAGCTCTCTCTTGTGAAAAAAATAAACAAACAAAAAACTTAAAAAAGAGAAAAGAAAAAGAGGGGCCAGCAGGTGGCGAGGTGTTTGAGGGCGCTGGATTCCCCCATGGCTGACTGTGGTTCAAGTCCCAGACCCGGCAGCTTGCTTTCTCACTTTCTCGCTCTCTGGGCAAATGAAAATAATAATAATAAATAAAGTGTTAATTGAAAAAATAATTTTAAAAAAGAAAGAAAATGGGGGAACCAGCAGTTAGTGTAATGGCTATGTCACTGGACTCCCACGTAGTCGACCGCTGTTCGTTTTGGTGCAAAAGAAATTTGAAATCCATGTAAAATTTTTCATAATTCACATTTTCCATGAAGTTTCTGAAGACCCTTTGTATGTCAGGGCTCTTTAATAAGAACGAGAGAAAATCAGCAGAATGGTTTAAAGAAAAAGATATGCCTATGGGACAAGCAGTTAGTGTAATGGCTATGTCGTTGGACTCCCATGTAGTTGACTGCAGTTCGAGTCCCGGACCCAGCGACTTAAACGCACGCTGGGCGTGCGTGTGTGTGTGTGTATGTGTGTGTGCCCAAGATCCTGAGAGGAGAATGGAGAAGGGATTGAGGCATGGCCATCCCTCCTGTGGGGGTGATTTCTCTTTTTCTGTCTCTCTGTCTCTGTATTTCTGGCGACCGCATGTACCCTATAGCAAAAATCCTCTCTAAATAAATAAAGATACGCCTATATTCCCTAAAACCCAATTGAATACAGCATGTAAAATGCAAAAACTAAATAAAGGCACACTATGAGAAAGTAAGTCTTGCCTGAACTTGCTACAGAGGAATTCACTGTAACTAAGAGGCATTGAGTGTATTCAATCTCTTCCTCAGCACAGGGCTCTGATTATTTGACCCAACCAGGGCTGAATACATAAGAACATTTAAAAACATGAACCATTATATTTTTTGAGTTTTCATCCCAGGCCTTGTTGAAGTAAGTCAAAGATGTTCTTTGTTATATAGTTTTGACTGCATGCAAGAGACTTTAGTCATTTCCTCAGAAACAGACCTAAGCTATAAATACTAACTAACC